AAAAAAAAAAAAAAAAAAAAAAAAAAAAAAAAAAAAAACAGAAAAAAAATAGAATAAAAAATTATTAAAAAAAATTAAAACATAACCTTAATCAAAATAAACAAAACAGAAAAAAAAAAAAATAAAAGGGTACATCAAAATGTATAATGTATTTTGGTAATAACATTATTTTTGATGAATATATATAACTTTTTATTCCAAAAATAACATTTAAAAAAATAAAGAAAAGACACAAAAAAAAAAATTAATGGAAAATTTAAAAAATAAAAATCAATTATGAAACAGAAAAAATAGAATATAAAAAATAATATATAATATCAAAATAGAGGACATATCACACTTGATATGTGCATTGTTTCATATTTATACATTTTATTAAGTATTTACAATTTAATATTATTACCATTTTAATTTTTGTTAACTATTTTATATAATTATTTATCTCTATATTTACATAATACACATTTACTTATTTTATTTTTTTTTTTTTGTCAAAGTTATGTATTTTTAACAGAATTACAATTTTTACTTAGAATATTATTATTAACAATATTATTACTACATGAAGCATTATTATTAGTACTATTGAAAAAATAATAAAATAATTCATGTTCAGCTATAAGTTTTTGACATGTTGGTTCAGATAAAAATTTCAGAGATTTAAAAATACATGATGAATATTGATTTAGTTGAGAAATAAAAAAGCAAGCATTTCTTTCATCATTTCCATCACCAACTGAATATATGAAACATATGAATGACGTATTGTATAAATATGGTGATAAAACTTCATTAATTATTTGATGAAATATAATTTTTTTCCAATCCTTTGGGTCTATTAGTGAATTAATTAATCTATCTCTTGCCGATATTATTCTTATATTGTTCTGAGTAATAAATGACCAAACTTCAGGAATAAATTTTTTAGCGGAGTTAATTAACCATTCTAGACTTGCATTTGTTACAATAACTAGTTTTCCTTGTGTTAAGCATAAGCTTAATGTATTAATTACAACATTACTTAATTTATTAAACAACTGTTTTAGATGAACAGGAATAATGTCATATAAGGTTAATTTCATTTTTATAGTTATCCAACTAGTTGGTAATATAGTATCATCATAATCAAATACAATCAATTTTTTATAAATAAATGGTTGACTATATACATTTCCTTTAAAAATATAACTATTATTTCTTATTAAATTATCTTCATTGTAATTTAATTTTGAGTGCAGTTTAAAATTTTCATTATGTAGTTTTCTTGTATCATTTATGTGCAAGTCCTTCAAGTATGTATTATAGTTAATTGCATTTCCATTGGGATACAAATTTCTAATTTTTTCCATTAGAATGTTTTTTTTTTAAATATATTCAAAATTAAAAATAATCTTAACTTTATAGGTATATATTTATGTTTTTATTTCTATACTATTTTTACATATGTGTAATAAATATAAAAAAAAAAAAAAAAATAGATTTATAAAAAATTTTCTTAACCTTATTTTGTAAAATTTTCACTTTAAAAAAAAATACAAACATGTAAAACTGTATATAAATATATGCATAATAAGAATTATAACTTGTTCTATGTTATTATTATTTTCTCTATATTATTTTTTTTTAATTCTTATGATCTCCTTTCCTGTCTTATTTTTATTTTTTTAGATGTGTTATATATAAACTATTTTTTAAAAAATATATATTTTGTTTTACTAAATTAAAAAGAAAAAATATAAATTACTTTATTTAAAAAAAAAATTGGAAATTTGACTCTAATAAAGAAAATCTAAAACAAAAAATTAAAAAACGGAAAAGAAAACATAAAAGGATAAAAAAAAAAAAATAAAATAACAAAAGGAATAAAAAGAAAAAAAAAAAAAAAAAAAAAAATTTAAAATAAATATTTACAAAAAAAAAAAATTAAAAAAAAAAGAGAATTTAAAATAAAATTATTTAAAAAATTGAAAATGCGTTGAAATATAATGGACAAATTATGTAGAATATTTATAAATAGAATTAAAATATATAAGTGAACAGTGGAACACATAATATGGAGAAAGGGAGGAGGAAAAGAAAACAAAACAAAAAAGGAAAAATAGTATGATGATTTTATTTTTTTAAATTACTTAAAAATGTTTAACTTTAAATAGTTTACTATTTATGCAAAGTATTGTGTTAAAGAGTAAAAATAAAAAAAAAAAAAAAAATAAATAGAATTTGACAAAAACGAATGGAAATGTTATTCATAAAAAGGTATCATATAATTTATTTTTTTTCTATCATATATAATTTATGACTAAATCATAATAATATTATATAAAAAGCATAAAAAAAAAAAAAAAAAAAAAAAAAAAAAAAA